TGAAATTTCATAATTATGATTTGTAAGTTTTTATTAGATGGAAATTAATCTGCAGTGAGGTTCGCACATGTAGTTTAATACCGTCTTTTATGTATACCAACGTTGTGACATTTTCAAATAATACATGAAAACTGAACCCTTGCAAAAAATCTCCAACTACATTTTTATTTTGCAATTTTTGGCCCCTCCATCGCATGATCTGTACACAAATTTTAGTGTCAATTTGATTATAGAATATAGTTACAAAGTACTCTGAATATAAAAACTTTAATCACGGAGACTCCGAATATGTACAAACAACATTGCATGAATCGAATAAAATTAAGGTAAGAGTCAGTTTTCAAAATGGCATGACATACAAGCGTGACACAATAAAATAATTGTAATTGCATCGTAATTGTTCAAAGTTAGGCATGCATCTTTGATTATTCAGTGCTGAAGTTTGTAAAAACAGGGGCAAAACATTTACTAGAAAAAATCTATTTTTCAATACTGTAAAAGATTGCACATAAATTGATGAAGGAGTTTGGATCGAAAATGAACTATAAGAAAGAATTCATTCATACATTCTAATTTAGAAAAAAAAAATTTGGTTTATAGTTCGCACTTCTTCGTCACAGAAATACATTTAAATTTGGAAATGATAGAAGAGAGGAAGTATTTAATAAAATCGCAGAGTGTCCAGATTGGAAACCTGAAACAGGAATAACAAACATTCCAAATCTTATATAGTTAACCAAATTTAGAAATTAATTGCTGCAAGTTGAAAGCGAGGTGTTGTGTTTGATCAAATATTCGATATCAAGTAGATTACTATGTTTTAAACGTACAATAATTACAAAAATGGTGAATAAATAGTGTTGCAATGAGTAAATATTCATTGTAAAATTATTAAGCATCTTTCAAATACACTGTACATTTAAAATTGTTTTTCAGTTACAAGAAATTTCATAAGATTTGATACAGTTGTGAACGAAAATACGATTGAACAGTAGTCGATTAGAAACTAAACGTATAGAAAACATAAGTATCGTAAATTACAGTTACGAAACACTTAAATGTTCTTTTACTGTGTGAGATCCAACCTCAAAATAAGCTAAAAATTGTTAATTTTTTCTCTAAATTTTCGATGTATTTAAAAGAAATTTGTCATCTCCTCGTTAAAATAACATTGTCGGAAAAAAGAATCAAATGTCGATAGAAACTTATAACATTTTTCTTTGATATAAGCATTTAACCCTAGAAAAATGACATTCCTCGGCTGCAAGACAAAAAGTTTATAGTTAAAGTTCGAATTCGTCATTTTGTTTTGGTCCCGGAAAAATTTTTAACTTCCACACCTGCTTGACTAACTCTACCTCTCACAATAGGGAATCACGTGACTAATTTTTCCAGTCCGAATCTATAAAAGCGACTGCTTTCCCCCTCCTTGGGGGAGTCTCACATCTACGACCGTCGGAAGGGTTAAGTGTCAAGAAAAATTTCTAATCTTGTGCGTCGATTGGAAAAAAAAAAGAACTAAGATTCTATCTACGTGGAAATATTCAATATATTAGAGGTATGAAGCAGATACTGTAAACTCTCTATTTGCGAGTTAGGAGCTAGCGAACTAAATTCATTTTCTCAGATGTTAGATTTTGTAATCTTTATTTTTGTTTGTTAATCAAATAAATCGTTGTTTCCATTGTTAAATGTTGTCATTTACTCGCATATCGCCTACGCCTTGTCGACGACCCCTCTCACCTCCTCCACTTGACCCAGGGCCTAATTAACCTACTTTGGGGCCCTAGACACTTTTTTCTTACCGGGCCCCCTTTCTCTCTCACAAGAAATAGAGCACAAAAAATATAAAACAATAAATAAAACAAAACTAAATAATGTGAAAAACTAAAACAAATCTTAAATTTTTATTAATAAAAAATATTTAATACACAACAACAAATTTTAGTTTTTTTAGAAAAGTTTGAATAGTTTGTTTATAAATTTAAAAAATTGTAATTTATTTTATTAAATGTCTAACAAAAGTTGTTGTACAATAACAATATTACCATAAAATATTAATTGTCAACATGACTATGTCTTGTTTATAAAATCATACTGCCTGCTGTGTTACCAGCTTACAGGTATGAAGGAGTACATGTCAGGAGTTGCAATTTGGCATAGAGCAGGGGTGAGCAACCTTTTCAATCAACGGGCCAATTTAAATTTTAAAATTTTTTGGCGGGCCGCACATAAAGTAGCCTAATACTTATTAATAATATACAAAACTTTATTTATAATAAACATTAGAATAAAAAAATATAAAATTTAAAATAAGTAAAGATTTCATATACAAATTTTAATGCAAAATAAAAACAAACAAGAAAAGAACAGAAAAACGAATTTACTTGAAATTTTTAATGAGAAATTTGGCACTGTTTTTTCGATACAAGCTGATCAATATCAGCCGGAATTGATGAGGTAGCTACACGTACGCAGCTTTCTAATCGTGCATCACTCAGTCTTGATCGGTGGTCATTTTTGATTAATTTCATGGTTGAAAATAATTGTTCGCAAACATACGTACTTCCGAACAGAGACATCATTTGCTTTGCATTTTTCGTCAAAAGCGGAAATTTCTCAGGGCTCACATAAGATTTATAAAAATTTTCGATGTTTACTGAGAAAAATACATTTTTTAAATCGGTATTATTCTGCATGTCAATCACTTCCATTTGAAAGTCTTCGGGAACTGTATCCACATCGATATTAAATGGCGAGGAAAACATTTTCATGGAAACCGCTGTCTTCTCAGCTTTGAACATTTGGAATCGTAATTGAAATTCGTTGATTAAAATGTCTATATATTGTGCGTATTTTTGACAAGTAGTAACGTTTTCTTTTTCTAAATGTGGAAAGTTTGCAGAAATTAAAAGACATTATTCTGCAAAAGATGCTGTTTCCACAATTTTAGTTTGTGCTCAAAGCCCTGAATTTTATCATACAAATTGTGAATAAACTGTCCTATGCCTTGAAGCACCACATTAAGATCATTGAGATGCTGAGTCATGTCGATAAGAAACCCAAAATCGCACATCTATTCTTTATTACCAAAATGAGAAAATGCATATCCCTTCATATCCAAGAACAATTGTATTTCGCTCTTTAAGTTGTATACTCTTTTTAGCATTGCACCTCTACTAAGCCAACGTACTTCAATATTAAAAACCACGTCGCCATATTCAGTTTCTAAATCTTTCAGGAATTCTTTAAATTTACAATGATTTAATGCTCGCGACTTTATAAAATTGATTAGTTTAATTATTGGTACTGTGACATTTGGCAAACTCAATCTTTTCGCATACAAATTTTCCTGGTGAATTATGCAGTGGTTAACGAATATTTCCCTTCCTGTGACCTTCTTAATGTCTTGAAATAGCCTTCATACTTCTACCTTTATGCTTGACATTGCTCGTGCTCCATCTGTCTATATACCAATAATCTTTTCTAATAAAACTGAAAAATTTTCCAACACAGACTTTAATTCATTGTACAGGTCTTTGCCGGCTGTAGTCCCTTGCATTGGAATCAGTGAACACAATTCTTCGGTAATATTAAATTTAGTGTCAATACCACGTAAAAATATAGCCAGTTGTGCTGTATTGTTATTATTGCAACTCTCATCAAGTGCCAAAGAACAGTATTCGAATTTTGCAACAACATTTCGTGAACGCATTGGTTCACGAAATGTTGTTGCTATGTTCTCGGACAAGTCTTCAATTCTCCTTGCAATGGTGAATCTTGATAAACTAATGTTTGAAATATTATTTATTTTATCAGGAAATGCTATTTCTGCAACAGCAGTCAGACATTCTTTTATCATCTCTCCATCCGCAAAGGATTTCATTTTTTTGCCAGTATTTGACTGACAACAAAACTAGCCTTTACTGCCATATTTGATAAAATAGCTTGATTTTTAAAAATAGTCTGTTGTTTTCCCAAGTTTTTCTCCATTTGATTAAACTTATCTATTCAGAGTTGTCCTGTTAAGTTTTTATTTTGTAGTTCATGTTTTGTATCGTAATGCCTTTTTATGTGGTATATTCTTTTAATGTTGACACAGTCTCTGAGCATATTAAGCATACAGCTTTATTTTTAACGAAAGTGAAAAATTAATCAAATTTCCACTTTTCTTGGAAATACCTGTGCTCATCCGCAACTTTGCGTTTTTTTGTTTGCTTTTCCGACATGCTATTATTGATTAAAAATTTGAAAGTTAATAAATTTGTAGGAAAACTTAATTTTGAATAAAAAAAACTTTAATATTACCTTTTTGACAATAATATTGCACTCACGCCTTTCAAGAAACACAAGAATTGCTAAAATTGCTAGTTAACAGCTTACCAGTCTAACTGATTATGTGACAGAAGCAAACACAAACAAGCACAGAC